ACGTTTTTAACTAGTTATTATACGACCTTGTCATAAGTATATGACTTACAGCATAGTGCTCTTCCTTCCGGTACTGTTAGAACGGCGGTATGCGCGGAGGAATAAATGGCGATGGGAGGATGGGAGGAAGAACATGGAGAAGGCTAATTCACGCGCAGAGGTGATAAGGGCGAGGGGAAGAACGAAAATGCTAGAGGGCGGAGGGAATGCAGGGGCGTATTGCGTCAGCCTTCGTGAAACGTGCCGAATGGCCGTCTAGTTGACGAAGTAGCTCAGAGTACACAACTCGGCAAGCTTCGTAGACGTCCGTATAATAGCTGATGTCCACTAGAAAGGTCGAAACAGGGCTCGAGGTGGACCCGATGGAGGAAGAGTAACATTACCGACAAACACAAGGGAGACCGCAATGACTCAGTGATTAGGGAGTTGGACCAACGGGTCGCGGGAGCGAGCCCCAGGTGTTCCACACTTCGGGGTTGGATATAACTGGCTGACGACGGCTAATAAACCAGAAATAGCCATTCCAATTTCCCTTGCTTTGTCGGTAATATTACTCTGCCTATATTACGCACCGCCGTGCAGCTGCTGATTGCGCTCGCAAGAGAGCTCCAAGGCCCAACGGGACGGGTGTGTTCCGTAACACGATCGGTGAGCGCTCCTCTACCATGGACCCAATCGTTCTAAATCATGGCAAGGATCGTATCGCCACCTCCATGTGTTCTGTTCCACTGAAAATGGCGAACAGGTAGATGCGTCTAAGCAACTAAGGTAGACTGGTTTTATGGAGTTTTAGCAAATCTCGCAATTTTACTACTCTGACAACAATGACCTTGGGACACTAAAATTTGAGTCCTGCCAAAATGCAAGTGTGTGATGATACAGATGTAATCAAACAACCTATCAAAGTTCTGTGGGATAATAACCACAGTGCTGGAACTACAGGTCGGAACTACTTAGAGAACAGGCCTTCTCTCTCGCAACTTCATTCATTACTCGCACAGGCTGCGACCGCCTCGACCGGGTTTACTTACTCCGGAAAGTAATTTTGCTAAGAGAAAATAACTTGCTTGGTCAAGATGCTTTAAGTTAGTCATCGGAGTAAAAGTACAACAACACAATACCTTCTTGACAATGCCTTCAGAGGGGCATGAAGCTCATTTACCTTTATCATTAAATGGTAATGATAGTGTCCTTTTTTAATTGGTGGCATTATGAAGGATCGAATTTGTGACGCCACAAAGTATGGGGCGCCCACCGATCGTTCTTACGGAACTCACTCGTTCCGTTGCGCCTTGCGGGTTCTCCCTCGAGCCGAACCAGCAGCCGCACAGCGGCGCATGATATAAGAAGTATGTTATTACCGGCAAAGACAAGGGAGACTGGAATGACCGTTTCTGGCTTATTAACCGTCGTCAGCCAGTCATACCCAGCCCTGTATAGTGAGCCACCCAAGGCTCAAACTCACCACCTGTTAGTTAAAAGTCTAACTCCTATAACCACTGGGCCACGGGCCCGTTGTCCTGTCGATTGCGATCGGGAATATACGAAATTAGAGGGACGCGCACCTCTACCATTTACAGCAAAGGTGGACGCTTTCCTAAGCAAGCAATTTGAAATAGACGTGAATTGCTACACAAACTCTGGCTTATTAGCTGTCGTCAGCCAGTCATACCCAACCCCGAAGTGTGTAACACCTGAGGCTCAGACTCGCGACCTGTTAGTTAGAAGTCTACGCCTCTAACCACTGGGTCACGAGCCCGCTGCCCTGTCGGTTTCGATCGGGAATATAAAATGGTAGGGGTCGCTCACCGATCGTTCTTACGAAACTCACTCGTTCGTTGCGCCTTACGGGCTCTCTCCTCTTGAACCCAACCAGCAGCCGCACAGCGGCACATGATATAGGCTGTATGTTATTACACTTCGTGGTTGGGTATGACTGGCTGACGACGGCTACTAAGCCATAAATGGCCATTCCAGTCTCCCTTGTCTTCGTCAGTAATAACAAGTTCTTAGAAGTTTAGCTCTTTTGCTCAACACAAATGTCCGGCCATAAACCATACCCTTGCCGCTGTGTCTTCATTTTTAATAACGAAGGACTTCTGTTTGTCAGGGATGATTTATTCCACCTTTTTGCATAACACGCGCCTCTGAAGAATTCGTCTTGAGCTTGAAACGATTCGGAGTCTACCTGAAGAAGTTGCCGCATGTAGGCTTCAATTCGGTCACTTGCATAGTCCGTAGAAGATTGGCTACAGTTCACCTGGGATCGTCTTTCCATCCACGGCATTGAACTGGACTTTTAATGATTTTATTGCCCGGCAATGCGGTGCCAACCCTTCGTACTTTTGATGAAGTACAGCACTCTGTCGCAGGCCGTCTGGTTTCTCGTCAGCAGACCAAGTCTGTCTCTATCCGGCAGATGACGTCCTTGTAGTTCCAAAGGCGAAACCCAATCAACAATTGATCAATATTAATTGTAAACGCAGGGGACGCCTTGGATTTTCGTGTCTGGCCTAGCTGTCCTCGACTGTCCTCCAGACTGGGCGCATCCTAATTTTGAACATGAACTTTCGTCGAACCACAGAGTCATGAGCTCCTGTTCTGTCGGCAGTAACTAAATAGGTTTGAAATCGTATATGAATGGCGTTCAAAGAAAGAAAACACAGTGCAATAGGACCCTCCGCCTCGGACAATACAGGTGGCTTTGGGCAAGATTCCAGAAAGAGCACCTATTCCCATGTCCTAACCCTGACCTTGATCCAAAACTTGTATTCTAACCATGACGCTGGCCCCAATTTCCTTGGGATTTAGTACAAGACACCTGTATACGGTGGGTACCTATATCCTTGTCCGACTCACGTAATTAAGAATAATGTGACTTACGTTTTTATAGGTTGGTCAAATCCATCTTTAAATAGGCTTGAGAAATTAGTCAGTCAGTTCAGTAGATACTGGAAGGTGAAACGGTCCTCTTTTCTAAAGATGGTCGCGAAGGACGGTCATTCCAAAACTTTGGAAACGGATGTAAGCACATATTTACATGATATGATTTTGTCATGATTTTCCCGTTAAATCAAAAGGTATTTCTCCTGTCGCCTGAATTTGTCCTCCGAAATCTTGTCTCGAAGCTGAAATAGCCTCTTTCTATTTTGTTGGTTCTCGAGGTCCGGGAACCAACTCGTAATGCCTTTAAAATGCATTTAGGATGATTTAAATCAGTTTGCTGTCATGTACCTAAACGCGTTGCAAAACCTAATTAACTTCTTAACCGGGACCCAATAAAGTTTGGACCGTTGAGTCGAATGTTGCCACACCCCGGCCGTCAGCTTCGTCTCGAGACAAATTTTCGGTGGAAATGTGGTTCTAGAGAAGGAAACTCGTATTGTCGGTATGTAATGCCCTAATAG